CGCACGGCCCGGCGGGTGGAGGGGAGCAGATGAGGGGTTCAGGGGGCATCGGGGGGTGGGCTGGGCCCCCGGGACCCGCCGGCGGCAGCGCCAACTCCGCTCGCACCTGCGGCTCAAACTTTTGTGAGGCGGCTCCCGAAGCGGCGGGAACCCGGCTGGAGCCGTCCCCCCTCCAGCCCAGCTCGGCCCTCGGCTTCCCGGGGCCCGGGTGGGCGCCAGGAGGCTCCGCGGGAACCGGGCGAGAGCGGGGCGGGGGGCGGCCGCAGTGGAGAGCGCGCGGGCAGCTTGGCGCGGGGGCGACCGGGCCGCGCCGGGGTCACCGGGGGCAAAGGACGGGGGAGGGGGGAAGGGCGCGGGGCCCGGACTGGTCCGAAGGCGGGTGTGTGGTTACAGAAGGGCTGCGCGAATACTTCGGCCAGTTCGGGGAGGTGAAGGAGTGTCTGGTGATGCGGGATCCCCTGACCAAGAGATCCAGGTGAGCCTCACCCCCTCCTCCTGCTCCCGGCTCCCCCCCCCCCCCCCGCCACTCACTGCCTTGTAACCATCTGCTTCTCCCTCACTACGGCGCGCAGGGGTTTCGGCTTCGTCACTTTCATGGACCAGGCGGGGGTGGATAAAGTGCTGGCGCAATCGCGGCACGAGCTCGACTCCAAAACAGTGAGTGGCCCTCAGGGCTTTGGGGGTCTTTTGGGAGAGGGAGGCTGCCGGAGGAGAGGGTCAGGTCTCTCCCCAGGGGACAGTTGGACGGGGTCCTGGAGGAAGGAGGGAGTTTTCTGAGTAAGAGGGCTGCCATGCTCTGAAACTTTGTCACCAGCGTGGGGGGCGAGGGGAGAGGAAGGAGAAAAATCTTAGGCCTGCGATGAGATGCAACATCCCCCTTCCCCCCAGTATTGGTGAGAGAGGTAACAGCTACCACCCACTGCCTATAAGTACTAATCTTGATGCCTAAGAGCAGAGCTTGGGGTGGGGCTAGGTCCCTCCCCTAGCCCAAACTGGGTGAGTCAGGGCTGCAGTGACCCACCCGGTGGCTTCTCTGAACTCTAACTAGTATTTGGCTCTGAGACGCCCCCACACCCCTACCCCCATTCCAGACCAATGGCAAAGCATCACTGAATCCCCCTCCCTCCTTCCATCCTTCCCTCCCCTGACTTTTGGTCAATCAGCTCCTTGCTTTGTATGGAAGACGTGGACCTGCTTTGCTCAAGAAAGGGATTTATGAGAAGGGAGCTAGCTTGTCTGGAAACAACCTTCTGAAGACTAGATCTTAGGAGAAGCGGCTTGTTTGGCATTCAAACTCGTGGAACATTTTTGCTGCTGTCCTACTGCTCCTAGTGTCTTGGACCCTGCAGGGGGCGCTGGCCGAGGCTGGCTCAAGAGGAGAGGGAAAAGGAGAAAGTCAGAGGAGGGGCTACCCTGTGATGGGGGTGTCCGTCTGCCAGGTGGCTGGGACAGTGTGATCTCCTCTCTCCACACTCCCCCATTTTCCCCCAGCCCTGGGCCTCCCTGCTTGGGTCAGTCACTGGCTCCTGTTTACCTGCAACAATAGCTGGTTGTGCCCAAGAATTTGTTAAATTACCGCCTGTCCCCAGCTCCTGTTATCTCTGCCCAGTGGCTCCCACTCCCGCTTGCAGTAATGAGCAAATGAGGCCAGGCCTCAACTTTGCCGGCTCTGAAAGGATCTTCTTGGCGCAGCCTGGGTGACCCAAGCTGGGAATGGAGAGACAGTGGCCTATTGTTTTTGGTGATTATCTGCCATCAAGCTGCCTGTTCTCCTACCATCCCCTGTCCTCAGAATGCACTGATGACTTCTGCAGCGCTCAGGAAGCTGAGATTTAGGGGTCGGGGCTGGGGGGTGGAGGAGTAGAAGATTGATAAGGGAGAAGAGAGACAGGGAGGAAGGAGGCTGAGATGGGTATCCTTAGGAGATCGGATCAGCAAAGGGCAAGGGTTTTATCTATGTTTGGTGCCTCTTGCCTGAGAGAGGGGGTGGGAGGGTCTATTTTGGGTTCTGACTTTCACCTTTTATTTACTTGTTGGGTTTTATTTATGTTGCCAGCTGTGAGTAAGAGTGGAGGTGGGATATGTCAGGGATTAGGTGTGTGTGGGTCTGTGGGAGCATGGCTTGGGTACTGTCTCCCCATCAGGGTCTGTGACAGGAGATTGTCTGAGGTGTGCTGGTGGCTGGCGAGTCTGCTTCTGGGAGAAATAGAAGGGTGAAAATGTCAGTACAGGTACAAAATCAAAACTTCAGAAAGGGGAAATAGGCAGCTGTGACTTTCCCTAGAGCCCCGTTGGACTTTGTAGGAGAGGAACATTGCCCTAGCATGGATTTTGGAGGTTCCATCTTGGTGGGCAGATTCAAGCAGGGAGCTTATAGGAGGCTGGTTCCTGGTTCATACCATTCAGGCAGAGAAACCAGAGCCAGTTGCCTAGAACGAGGCTGAGTTTTGAACAGAAGGAACTTTGGGAAAAGATAGATCTTCCCTGCTATTGGCTGGTAAACTTCTGAATGATGTCCACCCATGGGGTGGCAAGAAACTCTGGAATGACCCAATCTCCTAGGTTCTGCATTGATTACAATGTCACATGCCTGTCTTTTGCTGCTTTTTAGTATGGCTCTAGTCCCTAGGAGACCCCAGGTGCGTCTTGATTTTTCCCTCTGGTTGTTCACAGCCAAGGGCAAAGGTGGCTTGCTGGTAATAGCACCTTTGTTTGTGCAATGAAGGGCAGTTCACAAAGGGCCGCTTTCATCCACATTATCTCATTTGATTCCCCACAGCTGCCCCTGGGAAGAGCGGGTGTGATCGTCCCCACTTTGCTGATGAGGGAACTGAGGCTCAGAGGGGTCAAGCAAGATCATAGTCTTGGCAAGAGGCCCAAAGTTTCTAATTTCTAGTCACATGCTCTTTCATGTCACCAAAGAGTGCACTCTGCTTCACCCTAAGCCTTCCTGTATCATCAGAGAGCTGTTTGCTTACAGCCTCAAGGAGAGCTGTTTGATGTGTATAGGATTGGGGAAGCAGTACTACTCCTGGTGATTATGAACTCTCATACTGTAGCCTATTTCAAGCAAAGAGTATTTCCATTCCCAAGGCTCCCAAAGTCTGAATTGCAGGCCTTACCTAGACAGGTATCTGTGTGAAGTCAGTTAGGCAAGGAAGGCCCTTGATTTACATGATATTTGAAGGAATAAGACTTAGCTTACTTTTTTTGTTGTTCCTTCTTGCTCTGAGCCAGACACCATGCCAAGTGCTTTGTATGCCTTATCTCAAATCATCTGCAGATGACCCTTTGGTGGGTGTTATTTTCTCATTTTGCAGGTGAGGTTGGCCCTGAGGCTCAGAGAGGTGAAATAACTTGCCTATGGTCTCACAGGAGGGAAGCAGTGTAAGTGGGATTTGAACCCAGCAGCTTGATTTTAGGGCCTAAGTGCTTAACTGCTATGCTTTCCTGCCAGAGGCTGTTGTGATTGCTGTCACGTCTGTGTCCTAGGAGCAGGGAAGTCCTCAGGGCTGAAGGCTGTGTGGTCACTCATCTGAAATGTGATAACCAAGACCCCTTCTACCTTTCCCTTTCCTTTCAGATTGACCCCAAGGTGGCCTTTCCTCGGCGAGCACAGCCTAAGGTAGGTGTATCTGTGTCTGGGAGGAGCTCTGTTACCTTGGGCAACTCTGGACAGTGATTTCCCCAGAATTCCCTTTTATGGAAGATGTTTCTGGAACTTCTGGAGTGTTTCTGGAATGGGCTGGGGTGGGGGGACGGATTATTGATGTCCTTGCTCTGTGGAATAAAGACACTATGCATCTTTCCATCTGTGCTTTGGGGTGGACTGAAGAGGGGGCTGCATGTGTTGGGAGAAAGGGAAGCACTTGGAATTTGTTGTCCTTTATTTGAAGCACGTACAGTTTGGACTGTGAGTCTAATTTTGTCCTAATAGATCACAGCCTGTGTGCCCAGGGCTTCTGGGGCTCAAACACAGGACAGACTTATCCTCTGAGGCTGATCTAACTCTGACCTCCAGGTCACCATCCTACCTCTGGGGTGAGGTGTGCTGTGCTTACAGAGGGGGAAGAGACCATGGAGTCTGTCACCTGTTGTCTTTCAACTTAGGTGTCTTTGGCTGTTCTCTCAAGTGCTGTCCTCAGTGCTCTAGCAAGTTCTTCTGGGGAGAAGGGCAGTGTGTGCAGAAAATGGATTTCTGAGCTGTTGAGCAATATGGCACTCAGAACTTTTAGTGCAGGGCAGGGGCCTGAGATTCTCTTGAAGGACTCAGGGCAACTAGCCAGTAGCCAGATCTTAGTTTTTAAGTGACTGAATACAGGGGACAGGAGGAAAGACCAATTACAGTCAGGGAATCAGGATACCTGAGTTTGCTAACTTATGTGTCTTACAACTAGGTCCCTCTCCAGGAGATCTCAGTTTCTCTCTTTGCAAAGGAGTTGGCGGGAACTAGGGTGCCTTAAGATTCTGAGCCAGTGAATTCCGTCAAGACCCCCAGCTCCTGCCAGGGCAAAGGGAGAGGAGCAGTTTTAGGAGACAGGAAAGGGGCATCTCTGAAAGGACTCCAGTAGGGCCTGAAAGCAATTATGGAGCAGGTATTCTAAGGAAGCCGCACCAGGGAGCACATGGTCGGAATTGGGTTAATTCCATTAAGCAGTTTGGTGACAGAAGGTGCTTTAGTGTTAGGATGGGGCTGGGAATTGCCGCGGATTAGCCATGCGCTCCTGGGGTAATTAGGACCATGTGTTCTTCCTAAAACAGGACTGGGGCCGTGGTGCTGCCAGAGGTTGCATTGGGAGGAGGTTGATGAGGAAAATGTCGGTGTTGAGTTCAGGGCAACCCTGTGATGGTCCTGGGCGTCTCCCAGGAGAGCTGGTGGGGTCTTCCAGTTAGGCTGTAGGTCTGGGTCACAGACCCACCCCCTTCCCTGTGTTAGTCCTTAGGGAAGGCATTTTCCAGACACAAACCCCAGGGAGGGAGGCAGGAGGTAGGTACACTTGAGTCAGCCAGCCAGGGTGTGGGGCGCACAGCTGCCCTTGACAGGCCTAGAGGCGGGGGTCCAAGGAGGAGCTTGGGGGGAGCCTTCCAAGAGGCTGGGGCCACAGAGAGCTTGTCAGCTGGCATCCTGGCAGGGGGGCTCAAGCCCCTGCTGGTGGCGGTAGGCCACAGGACTCAGATGCCCACTTTCTGTTCCCTCCCCTAACAGATGGTGACTCGGACGAAGAAGATCTTTGTAGGGGGGCTGTCAGTGAACACCACGGTGGAGGACGTGAAGCAATACTTTGAGCAGTTCGGGAAGGTGGGTCTAAACTGGGGGTGCTGGCTGGGCGTGCTTGCTGGGGCTGTGATGTGCTGTAGAATTGGTCAGTAGCAGGCAGGGTCCAGCCAGGACATTCCAGTTCCTGCAAAAGGTGAAAGGGGGGCTGGCTCCTCTTGTGGGTGACGCCAGGCCAACACACTGTTCAGGCTCCTGGCCCATCTATGAGCCTCAGACTCCGGACATCCCCAGGGAGAGGAAGCCACACAGTATCTGTCCCTGTTGTTGCCCTTCCCCTGTATTTTTCTCTTGCTTATCTTCATCCTCCCAAGAGAGGCTGTGCTCCCATAGCCAGTTCAATCCAGTCACCCCTTGGCCTCCTGGGAGTTTGCACCTGTCCAGGACATGGGCGGTTGCACCTTCCCCCACCCCTTCCTGGTGAGGATAAGGAAGCAATAAATGACTCTCAATTGCATTCAGCACCCTTCTTGCACAGGTAGGAAGCTTGGGGCAAGAGCCAGGGGGCAACTGAGCCCCTAGGTATTGGGGGGAACTGAAGAAGGCACCCCGAATTCCTAATCGGGCCCAAAGGATGGGCTCTCAGTTCTGAAATGCATCAAGCTTTAATTTCCGGACCTACAAAAAGGTAAGCTATGAAAAAGTAGGAGGTGTGGCGACATCTGACAATAAGGTGTCCCGGGAAAGGTGAGCAATATGAACTTCAAGGCCCCAAGGGGAGATGGCAAAGAGGGACCAAATATGAAGTCGAGGGGTGAAGGAGGGCAGCATTGCTTAGAGCCGGGGTCCCTGGTCTTTCTTCTCTTAGGAGAGACGGGATAGAGGCTTTCCCCTCCAAGCATTTCCAGTTCCCCTGGCAGGCAAAGGGGGACGTGGCTTGGGAAATGGGCTGGGAACTGGCTGGTTGGCGGGTCCCCTAGCCAGCGGATGCTGGCGGGATGGGGACGAGAGGCCTCGGCACAGGCGCCTCGCGCAGGCGCCTCAGTGGAGACCTGGGTCCAGGACGCAGGGCAGGTCGGGCCGGGCCGGGCCGGGGCCCCAGAGGGAAGGGCGCTCCTGGGAAGCAGCAGGCCCGGCTCGGCTCCGGCGGGGTGTCTTTGTGTCTGAGCGCCGAGCATTAGAGCTCGCACTAATCTGATCCAGCAGCTGTGATTGGAGGCCGCCTGCCCCCGGGGCCGGCGTTGCCATGGCAACCGGGCCCCAGGAGAAGCCGTCAGCGGCCGCGTCTTTTGTTCGGGCCTAAATCGGCGTTGGCATGTGAAACCGGCCCGGGGAGGCCAGGGGGAGCCGGAGAATAGGCTGCCAGGGAGCGAGGGGGACAGCCGGGAATGCCAAGGGCCCCGCGGCAGGGGGCCCCCCGCCCGGATCGAGGGGCCGCCGCCGAGGGGGGAACAATGGTCAGCCGCCATGGCTGCCACTCAGGCTTAGCGGCCGCCGAACTTGGCGGCTCCCACTGGTCAGCAGGCCTCGGTCGCCTCCCCTCCCCCCGCCCGATCGCCCCTGCCCCTGGGTTCCCATGGAGACCAAAGCCTATTAAGGACACTGGGCCGGGAGCCTCCCTCCCCTCAGCTGGCCCCAGGAGGGGATACTGGGTGGTGGTGGGGGGGTGCCCTGGACCCCCAGCCACTTTCCTTGCGCCCTGCCCTGGCCTCGGCCCCACTGCCCCATTAGGGGTCTGTGCAGCCGAGGCCCAGGTTGAAGCGCGTAGGGGCCAGGGATGGTAGAGTTGGAAGGCTGGGAGGAGGAAGGCGGAAGGGATGTGGATTTTGGCTCAATCAGTTTGCGGGTCAGGCGGGAGCTCAAAGCTGTAGGATTAGGGAGGAGGGTGTGGCAGTTTCTTCTCTTTATTCATTTATTCATTGAAAAAAATTACTGAGCATAAGTCAAGGTGCACAGTAGAATGGTGGTCATGGTCATGACCAACACAGACACTGTCCTCATGGAACCTTCAAGCTGGTGGTGTTGGGCTTGCTCTCTTGCTTTGCCACTCTCCCCCATGTGACTATGGGCAAGTCTCTCCATAATAAAGATAATAATAATAGCCGTTATTTATTAAGAACATACTGTATTCCAGGTACTGTGCATTAAGTGTTATGTGCACTCCTCCCTATGAGGTAGACACCGTTATGTTCATTTCACAGATGAGGAACCAAAGTCATGGAGACATAAAGCCACTTGGCCAGGTTACCCAACCAGCAATGCAGGATCCAGGATTCCAACTCAAGGCCTCCCTACTCAAAGCCTGTGCTTTCATCTCAAGCCTTCTTTCTGGGTTTCTGTTTTCCATGGGTTAAGCGAGGGTGGGAAAGATGTGCCAGATCTAAAGTGTCCATCCAGTTTGGATGGTCTATGATTTAGGATTGGGACTCAGAGTGGGTCCATAGGGATGGGAATGAGGGTAGCACTCCACTGCAGGGCCCTGGGGCAGGAAACTTCTTGGGAAGGGAGATGTAATTTCCCTCTGAGATTCTCCAGGGTCCCCATGCTTTCTGGCTTAGTGGGCTCCTAGTTCTCCCAGGGGAGAGTCAGAAGCCTGGTGTAGCTTGATGCCTAAGGAGAGCTGGAGGACCACCCTAGTTTAGAGTCTGCCTCTCCACTTTAATGAGGCAGGGGAGGCCCCTTATAAGGCAGATGACGGACTGGAAATAGAGGGAAAGAAAGTGGAGGCGAGTGGAGTGTCCTGAGAAAGTTTCTGTTTCTTCTTTGGATGCCTGGCCATTTGGTGGAGGGTCAAGGGCTGGAGTGGGATATCGGGGGTTATCAGAGGCAGCTTCTGAGTTCCATCAAGGGTGAATCAGACCTTAGCTAAAAGGGTGAGGAAGAGGCACCAGATGCAGGAAAAGGAAAGGATGTTGGACTGCAGGAGAGAAGCTAAGGCCTTTGGCTGTCCATGTCTCTAAGGGGATGCCTTGAGTAAGTAGCAAGAAGACTGGGGTCTAAAAAGAGGGTGGATTGTGTAGACCCTCCCCCTTCCTCAGACCTTTTCCCCTCCCCCAGTCAGTGGGAGGCAGGCAGCCCAGGAATTGAACTCTACTTGCTTTAATTACAGCCTCTAGCAAAAGGAAACCTCAATTAGAGGAAAAGATCTGTACCAAGAGAGGGGAGTCGAGTCTGGCTGCTATCCACCTGGCCTTTTGCAAAAAAGGGAAGAGGCTTTTGCTTCCCCATCTCATAATCTTGCTCCCACTTTTCCTTCTCTAGTGCCCTCTCCGTGCCTCCTCCTCCCTGGCTTAGTCTAGGACTTGCTGTGTAACCTTGAGCAGGCAACTTTACCTCTCTGAACCCATTTCCTTATTTACCCAATGGGGATCTTCCCATGCAGGGAATGTTGGGAGGATGATGGGGCAAAGTGCCGGCTGTGTATTTGGAGCTTAATAAACGCAGGCTAGTCCATTGAGAATCTGGTGGTTGAATAGAGGGTGCTGTGGTATCCAGTGGGGTGGCAGATGGAAAGTTGTCCCCTGTGCAGGGAGCAAGTTTAAGATAAAGCCTGCTTGGGCCGGCCCGGTGGCGCACTGCTACAGTACGCCGCTTGAGAGCGCGGCGGCGCTCCCGCAGAGGGTTCGGATCCCACATACAGACCGGTTCCCGCTCACTGGCTGAGTGAGGTGCGGGCGCGACACTGACGGTTGCGATCCATTGCCGGACATGAAAAAAGACAAAAAGGAAAAAAAAAAAAAAGATAAAGCCTGCAGTGGACAAGAAGAGAGGGGTTGTGGGAGCCTCTGTTCTTGGGTTGTGGCAAAGTCCCCTGGTGTCTCGTGGGTCCTCCATGGCAGGCTCTGTTTCAGGTGGACGATGCCATGCTGATGTTTGACAAAACCACTGAGGGGTTGTGGGAGCCTCTGTTCTTGGGTTGTGGCAAAGTCCCCTGGTGTCTCGTCGGTCCTCCATGGCAGGCTCTGTTTCAGGTGGACGATGCCATGCTGATGTTTGACAAAACCACCAACCGGCATCGAGGTGAGTGTGACCCCCCCCCTTCCCAGGCTGGGCTGGGGGCCTGTGGTCAGCCAGGGGGCTGCAGGTCACAGCTGCCCTTTCATCTCGCCTCCTGACATCCTATCCCTGAGGATCTGCATCCTCTCCCGGGCCTGGCCTTACAGAAGGCTTTTGTCCCGTCGTTTCCTGTGCTAGAAACTTGCCGAATTGCAGACACCCGAGAGCAGAGAAGCAGCCCCCCCAACACTCTACCAACTGAGCCCTCCACCCCTGCCCTCCACCCCTGCCCTAGCTGCTGTCTGCCTCTGCACTGGGGCTTACCTTGTCCTGGTAACCAAAGCTCAGGCCAGGCAGCCCCAGGGTCAGGCTGACTCCACAGCCCCAAGCAGTCTGCTCCTGCCACTGCCCTCCCACC